TTTTCTTTCATAAGAAATGTTTTGAGTGATACAGAAATTTTTTTGTTTTTATTCGCAGGATTGTAGGCAAAAATTCCAAGGTGGTTCATTCTTCGATCACGAAGGTTTACCTTACTGTGAAACTCATTATCATGCAAAGAGGGGATCTTTATGCGCAGGATGTCATAAACCAATTACAGGTTTCTGTGCTTCCATTATTTGCTCTAATTAAACATTAATAGTATTAAGTCATTAAATAAATATTCTTCTTTCAGGTCGTTGTATAACCGCCATGTTCCGAAAGTTTCATCCCGAACATTTTGTATGCGCATTCTGTCTAAAACAATTAAACAAAGGTACTTTTAAGGAACAAAACGACAAACCATATTGTCACGGTTGTTTCGACAAGCTATTCGGTTAGAGTCTACCGTAAAGTATTCATATTTGTAACATAAAGACGAACAGGCTGTTTGCTTGGTATTACAATCTTATAGGCTGCACACATATGTCTATACCGCGTAGAATATGTAATCGCTTTAGTCGTTATACAAAAGTACACGTATTTTACGATTCAAGCTTCACGTGATTCGAAGCAGCCTTTGGAGATTTTTATAATCCTCGATATGCAAATGGTGCAACAACTCAATTATATATCACGTATCGTTATATATTCTTATCATAAGAATATGGTAATAGGATAATCGTGGTCGTTATTATCTTCCATTGTCCTTAATAAGGGCCCGTTGCTAATATTTTCACGAATATTTTATATTACGTATTTCACTTTGATCATACAGTCTAAGAATTAATAAAGGGTGCTAATTAGTAGCTTATTTTTACTAATAATGTATTTGTTAAAAGATATATTCGAGTAAGGGAACTGCCACTTAAACATATTTATGTGAAATCAGGATATTACTAAATATTCGTAATTCGTTTGTTAAATTTGATACATGTTTGTAAAATATTTATATTTACGACTGAAACACGTGATGAAAGTTAGATTTTCCAGTCAATTTATTCTATACGATATTGAAATTAATATTATCTAAGCCTCTTTTCGTATTTCATGGAAAATACATCATATAATTCATATTAAATCTAAGGATATAAATTAATCAAAAATAAAATATAGATAAACGCATAATGTAAAAGCAGGAAAAATGAGTTAAAAATTACAAGGTGGTATTTTTTTTCTTAAACACTTCCTACTTCCTATTTTTCCTTTATGTAAATACAATAAAATGTACAATATAAATTTCCTTTATGTAAATACATAAAAATGTACAATATAAAAGTAAACAGAATATTTTAGATTCATTGTTTATTTGACATACTGTTGCACAGTAGTGTCCCAATTACTTTATCAGTAAACATTTATAACATATTACATACAGTAACGTTTAAAATGATATCTGAGAAATCTCTACAACGATATACAAAGTAAAAGTAGTGTACATTTAAAACCAAATTTGATATTACAAATACATGTATAAAATAAACACATATACAAAAATACGCGCAGAATTAGATTCCTATCTTTAAAACCTGTGCTACTAGTTTGTGAAATAACTTATACTGTGTTACAATTTGTGCTATATTATCTCCATGAAAGTACAAGAAGAATAAATAAACTTTTGTATCATACTATGGCTTTTCCGCACAGTTACCGCATATCACAGACATTACATTTTGAATTTCTTTTTCTGAGACTGTCATGCCAATGTAGGGAACAATTCAGAAAAACTTTCGTGCCAAAGTTCTGTCAGGCCAATGTTATTTTTTTCGAGTCGTGTATCAGTATTTGGAGAACCGTGTGACTCATACCCATAATCAGATACGTTAGAACCAAACTTCGTATGCGTGCAATTGTCCACATCTTCGGAATGTATACTTTCTGGTGACATAGAATCTGTATTTGTGTAAGATGGTGATAACTGATTGGAATAGTAATTTGGCATTAAATACGCTGAATCCTCGTTTGAACAAACACTATCTGTAACTACTTCTTGAACGCATTCTTGAATGCTTACGCTGGTTTCATTGTCTCCTGGACAAATGATCATTACAGAATTGGTTGCCTCATCATAAGTACCATAAATAGTGTCTAAATCATGCGTTTCGTCTTCTTGTTTTACTTCGACCTCTGACTTTATCGATAAAGGTGCATTCGTGTTTGCGATATAAGGTGTACTGGCTGTGCTATAAACAGGATGCCACGATTGATGCGTACTCATGCTTCTACAGGTTCCACTGGTTTCCACATCTTTTGATGTCTGCCCCACCACTCTTTCTGAATAGTTACATTTCTCAGTGGTATTTTCCTTGGCTGACCTCTACACAAGACACAATCATTATGTCATTAACGAAAGGAAGACTGAGTTGTGAATGAAAAACATAAATTTAGAAACAAATGAAATGTTTAATAATATTCAACAGTGGCATTTTATCATAAAATTCAACAATTTTAAGTATACCATACTTAAAATACCAACGTAATAATATTTCGTCATTCTTTCAAACATTTCATTCATTTCTGCAATATAAAATAAGGAAACTAAAATGCTACTTGAGAAAATTCATCATCTATCAAATTGTTAATCAGCAAAATACTCACTTGTTCATCTGTTTTGTGAGGATTTGCTTCCACTTCTGCTGTAACTTCTCGTAACAGACTTTCTGCAAGTTCTTCAAGTCGTTCGATGTAACCGTCTCCTTGGAAGTCGGCAAATAATTCTTCAAGAGGAGGTAGATGGTCAGTATCTTCAGAAGAATTGTTGCTCCTGGTGTTAGTGTCAGGGACGGTGCCAGCTGTGTTGTTCCACCCTGCTGCAGAGGGTGAGTGGGGGATACTGTAGATCCCAGCGAGGACACAGCACAGCCGACACGACTCTGACACATGGAGCATACAAACTCTTCCGTGTTCTTAGTTTCTCTTTCCTTCCTCAATCTTTTTGTTTCTGCGACTAACATTTCATTTTGCGATCTTAACATCGAACATTCCTGTGTTAGTAATTCATTTTGTTCCCTTAATGTTCGAACGGTTTCTTCCAATTCGTCGAGTTTTGCCTTTTTACGGTCCCGAGAAGTTTGAGCCGCTACCCTATTCTTCAATTTCCTACAAAATATACGAAGTTAGTCCGATAACACAACTACGTTTTCCTTAATTGTATTATACATTCGTTATTAACATACTTCCTTTGTAATTTTTCCTCCCACGTTAAGTGATCCAACCGCCGTTTTTTTCCACGAACACAAACTTCTGTCTTGTACGGTTCACTTTCATCCTGAATTTCTTCGAATTTAGCGATTTTCTTCGGATCCATTCTTGCTTTGTCGGCTAATACTGAAGCAGTGAAATTTAATTTTGGCAGAGATTTTGATAATTCGTTTGCTTTAATAACCCCAGGTGCCTTTGATGGCAGGCCCTTAGGCAACGTAATAATAACACTTTTCAATACGCTCATAATCAGCCATAAAATATAGAATGAAGTTACTATTGTCACTTGTTTTAAAACTTCACCGTCTTATCGAGCCCTTTCCCAACTTTTCGTGCCACTGTCAGATGACGACTGATTCGACACATAACATGTTTTGTCGTAATGAAATTTTGTATGCGTTTTCAAGCTGATGTAACCGTACTGATAAACTGCAACATTTAACCAGCCGGAGAACATCCTAGAACCGCACTTGCATCAACCTCCGATATGACTGGCTGAAAATAGAAACGTTACATGTGGTGTACCGTTATTGGTTGCCACGTCGCGCTTCTTCACGTACACTTCTACTACTACAATGAAATAATTACAACTCAACTGACGTCATCCCATACGGTACTATAACAACACTTTTTTGCATCGGTTCCACCTACCATAAGGATACTATACCATTCCACAAACTCTTCATACACATTCTAATATCTAAAAATTATAATATCTTATTCAATCAGCTATTGACGTTATTTTTCGACATTGTTGCATCACACAATGGAAAATTTATTTTTCGTAATCGATAGCTACTGCAATTATATTTAAAATTTCATTGATATTTATAAGGTTTTCATTGAATGTTCGATACACGTTACTAAAGTCGAAATATCCGAAGAATGTAAATGGAATTTTAAATGCGTAATATTTTGTCGATAATGAAAAGAAGGATAAAAGAGGGATTCACGCTATATAAAAATGCGTAGGACTATTGTAAATAAAGAAATGAAATAAAATGCAATCGATATGGAAAAAAAATTTAATTTCCTCAGATGAAGATGTACAAGTCGAAACTTGGAGTTTAGTAAGGTGTTCAATACAGTAGCGACGTCTATGGATCATTTTTCGTGTCGATACAACAGATTATTCACTTACCGATAGATATAATACGGAGCATTGTGTAACAGTCGATACCGTAGATCGCAAGAAAACGAAAAATTATAAAATTTAAAATGTAATTACACAAGCGTATTTAAATCGTCGAATAAAAGTTGCACGATTTTATTTATACGATAATTACGTACAAAACAACGAGAAAAATCGTAGAAAATACGTAAAATGCATTTGCGACTCGCGAACCAATCAGAGGTTTTCATACGATGGGGAACTAAACGTCAGGTTGGCTATCCCGGTGGTGCATCGCGCGTCGCATTTCATAGATACTAGCCATTAATCTACGAAATCGACCACGCTGTAGACGAGGAAGCAGCCCGGAGAGTAAGAAGGAAATAGGGAGAGGAAGAGGGCGTTGCAAAATGTCGTGAGCCGACACGAGGGTTCGACAGGACTTGGCTTTCAGTCGCAGCTCGGCAGTCTGTACGAGACGATCGAGTTACGTATACTACGGTGTGCAGTTTATGTACATATACGCGTACGGTGCATGTATTAGTGCTCATAGGCGCAGTCTCGCGTGTGCACGGGTAACCGATACGCCGGACGAGTTGACACACGCGCAGCAATGGCGTACCCCCTTGAAGAAGCCTGAACGTGTTCTGTCGTCGAATATTCCTTTGTGCCGCTGTGTGTGGTGTGTGTAAGAAGGACGGATAATCCGAATAAAAGATCGTACATAGTAGTCGACGATAGAGTTGCGAAACGAAGTCGACATATCAAGGTGTTTCAGGCTTGCCGAAACGAAAGAACGAAACGTTACGCCCAGCCAGATCACGTCCAAGCTCCATTGCTCGCTCTAATATACGAATCGACTTTCCGTTCTCACAGACGTCATTTAAGCTTCGATAAGGAGAAATTTGGCCAGATGGAAATTTACCAAAGCAGAAGCGTGGCATTCTAGCATTTAAATGCAAACACGATGCACGGATGTAGCAACCGGAATGATAGGTGCAAAGGGTTTGTGACAGAGTGAAGTAGATTATCCCAGGGAAGAAGAAATTGGAGGAAAGGGGAACGAAAAGATACGTGTATATAGAGAAAGGAAAAGAATTTCGAGGTAGGAAAGAGAGAGATCGGAGAAAAACGCGTAGACACGGAAAGATCACGGAAGGCAGAGATCGATGTTGCAAAGAAGCCGGTGTCGAACGAGTCAGGGCCGGTGGTGTACGAATTCATAGTCGGTTGTAAGCTCTTTACCTACGACTTTTTTCCCTTCCCTCTCTCGAAATATGCGATAACGCTCCTTTGCTCGTGTACATTGGGGGCTTCCGCCTCGAGGGCTTTCCTCGGTGTTGGATATAATAGCTGATTGGTCCAACCCTTGGATAAGGCAACCCTCTCCCACAGTGATGCGTCGTACCGTTCTTCCTCGCCTCGTTTCAAGGTATGTCCATGACAACGAGAAGTGCCATAATCATTAAAACGATCGCAGTGTAAATAAGATTGGGAGAAACAGAGCTAGAGGGATAGCACAAGCGAGCGGCCAAGAGAAGAATAAGAGAGCAGGAGGAAGAGGAAGAGGAAGAAGAAGTAGAAGTAGAAGAAGGGGGTTAGTAAAGGGAAGGAAAGGAAAGGGAAAAAGTGCCGGAGGATCGCGAACTCGCGTCTCCGGCTGTGTGGCAGAAGATCAGTAATCTCAACGCTGGGCGAGACGGAGACCAGCGGATCGTGGTCGTCATCGGGGAGAATAATCACGAGGATCCCACGAAATGAGAGCCTAGCGTTCGAGGTGGGTCGTTGGTCAGCGGGCGTGCAAGAAGGGACGGTTCGGCGGCGGAAGCCTGGATAGTAGGAGGTTTCCAACATGGCCGCTGCCTGCTACGAGAAGGAAGTGGTGGTAGGTGCCGCTATGCATGGACACGGTCATCACCATCACCACCACCATCATCATCACCATCACCATCACCATCATGGGATGGCCGGTGGGTCTACCGGCGGCGGTGGCGGCGGCGCTGTGGCTGTAACGGCTGCTGCGACAGGCCCGACCGGACAGCAAACCGTCCTACCGGCCGCATCGACCGGCATCCTCGACACCACCGCTGCCGCTGTTACTGCCGTCGGCTCCAGCACCACCGCAAACTCCAATGCGTCCGCGACCGCGACGGCGGCAGCTGTCGCGGCCGCGACGGCGGCGACGGCCGCGGCGGCAGCCGCTGCGGTTGCAGTCACCACCTACAAGGACTACAAGGATTACTCGCAACCACTGCACGTGGACTGCAGCGTCGAGTACGAGCTGCCGAGTCAGGCGAAGCCACCGCCTGGCGGTGGTGAACCCCTTCTCATGATCCACCCGTGCTACTATCGACGCGCCGAACGCGAGAGGAGAAGTCCTTTCGTCAACAATCTACCACCGCCGGCGAACGCACCGATCACCTCTAGGCGAAGCAGCAGGCGAAACGCCTCGACTGCCGTCGTCGTAGCCACCGCGGCCGCAGCCGCCGCTGTATCTTCCACCTCGTCCGTAGTTGCATCCTCCTCTACGGTTGCCTCTGTTTCTACCTCGACCGTGTCCTCTTCGAGTTCCGCTGTCGCAGCAGCAGCGGCCGTCTTATCGGCCACCGCAGCCGTCGTCGCGACAACCGATTCTGGATCGAATCTCGTTTCCACAACCGGTCAAATGTCCGCCGCGGCCATGGCAGCTTCCTATCGAGCAGCGCTCAACGCTGCTGCCACTCTCTCCCAACAACAACAGCAACAGCAGCAACAACAAAGACGTCAACATCATCCGCAACAGCAACCACCACCACAGCCGGCGCAACCGCAGCAGCAACAACAGAATCATCATCATCATCATCATCATCGACCTCACGCTCACCCCCATCATGGTCAACCGCAGCCGCAGCAACAACAGCAACAGCAACAACCACAGCAGCAACAACAGCAGCCGAGTTCGGTAACGTCGACCACTTCTGGCCCCGAACTGATCTCTGCTGACGAAAAAGCAGTCATATCAGGTATTTATCAACACTACTTCCGCGCAATGCGCGCTCACAATTATCAGCACCGGCAGCAGCAACAGCAGCAACCGCAGCAGCAACAAACTACGCAGCAGCATCGAACGACTCATCAACTTCATCATCAACCTCACCAAAGCGACCGAAGTTCCTCCTCGTCGGTAACGCCGACGGCTACGTCGATCTCTGGCATTCTACGGCAAACGTATCAGCAGACGTATAACGCGACGAATTCGAGTTCGTCGAGCCATCTGCGGGCAGCGACAGCCTCGGCAATCGGGCACCACCCGTACAGACGGCCGTCGGCGGCGTTGTTATCGCGCGCAGCGTCGCACGTTGGTCAGCAGGCTTCTTCCTCATCTTCCTCGTCCTCTTCTTCTTCCTCGACGTCGATCGGTGCTTCCAGCGGTGTTTCCTCTGGCGGCGTTTCCAGCGTGTACGCGAGCACGATACACAGGCATCACGCGACCTCGCTACACGCCCTTCAGGCGGCCGGTTTTTACGAAACGCCCGGTTATCACGCGCTTTTGCCGCAGAGTTAGATGTCCACCAGCAGCACCAACAGCGTGAACCCGCTCCAGACCGACCCCGTTGCCAGCGTTCATTTATTCACCTAATCCGGCTGCAAAGCCGTGCTCTCTCTTCCCTATTGTACGACTTATCTCTTCCATACTCGTTAAAGAGCATACGGGTTGGTCTAACTCTGCCTAGTACACTCGGGAAACATCTATCTCTGCGACGTACATGCTACTTCTACTTACGTGTATCCACTCTATGTACGCGGATGTATACGCATACGTGTATATGTATGTATCGTCGTCGACGCGACGATCGTACGTGCCGTGCACTCCGTTCTTGGCAGTAGTGTGTGCGGGTGTCCGGACGGACGGACGGACGGACGGACAGACAGAAAGACAGAAAGACAGACAGACAGACAGACGAGCAGAAAGCCACAGAATAAACACCCAACGCGTATACACCACCATCTCCACTATTACCGTCACACACAGACTCGCGTTCGAACCAGGGACAGATGGAGGGAACCACGACGGGCAACCGTGAAACGGTCGTCCGTGTACGCATCGACCGATTTCATCCACCTGCGATACGTGTGCGCTGCTCAGGTATAAAAATCCATTTGCTTAGGCCCTGTATTAACGACTTATTTTTAGCCGGTATACTTTCCATCGGAGACACGAGATTTTCTCTGCGTAAATTCCTGAAACTCGAATGCCTTTCTTTGCTACGCAAACATCGTGCATACGCGGTCGTGCCTCTCGTTCTACCTCCGCCGTAGTGGCGACGGCGGCAGCAGCATCGGCGACGGCGGCGGCCCCTTTCGCTCTTTTTCCCATCCTCGGTTCTCGAATACCGTCGGATCGCCAACACGCATCGGTCGACAGTATTTTTAGGGCGTACGATCGATGCCCCCGTGTTCGTCTATACCTTGCCGATACGCGTCTCTATAACCTTTAGACTCGTTTTCCAACGAACCTTATCGGTCGACGCATCGCTATTTTCCAACGGTTTATAGTTTCTTACTTCTCCGTGCTTTCGTACAACCTAACCTCCCGGACCCGATCGACAATCATCGTAATCGCAAGTGCCAAAACGCAACGGACGTACGTTATCATCCGCAACAGGGTGGAAGCGCAAGTTTGCCAAACAAAGAGCACGTACGGAGACACTTGTTTTTCTTTTCTTCTTTCTGCTTTTTGTTTCGCGAGCACATACAGGAAATGGCAGTGTGCTCCGTCGTAGCGATCGCAGTTGTCCTGCTCTAACGGAATGTCCCTCTCGCCCTTTCTCCGCCTCTCTGTTCGTCCTTCTCTAGCCGGCTCGCGTTGTTCGTTCCTCCGGACCTCTTCGTCCCTCTCTCGCTTCGTCTCTGTCCGTTTCACGGCGGAACATCTCTAGAAACCCGTGGTCCGAGAGAGCCGGGGCAGGATTTCTTCTTTTTTGTCCTGCGCCCTTTTCAAAGAGCGCGCTCAAGGAGAAACGGACGGGGACCGTATTTCGTTACACGGTAACGATCGATCAACGTGACCGCACGACCGCACCGGCGGTACGGGCGAGCCGTGGCGAAGCGAGACGAAGCGAGGCGAGGCGAGGCGAAACGAGACGACGGGTCGGGACGAACGGGACGGCACCGGGGACGGGGACGGCTCGGCACGGGACGGGATGGGACGGAACGGAACGGAACGGAACGGATCTGGGCGGTTACGGGACGTGGGGGGAAGGGGGGACGCGCCAGACCAGACGAGAAGGGGGCGCGGTCAAGATGGGGATCGGTAGAGACTAAACCAAGAGACGGGACTCGCACGCACCGGAGGGAGCAGGATGCGTCGACTCGTATTCCGAAAACACCGACGACGACGACCATGTGCACACGGGTGGACGTTAGACTAACAGCCGCTAATGCGAACCTGCGACTCCGAATCCTATAATTTCCACCCGTCGCGCCTCGCGGAGCCTTGGAAAAATGGCTCGGAGGGGGAAGTTTCGGGGAAACTAGATGGGAAGTAGCTTCTGCGTTCCACTCGTCGGATACACCCGAGTATAAGAAGGGGAAAAAAGACGAAAGTCACGGAAGGGGCAGCGCTTGGCCGCGTTCGATGGATGGATCGAGACGAAACTCTCGCTTCTCGATAGGGTATCGATCCTAATAAATTTCGTTCTACGAATTTGCGTCCAACTCTTACCCTCGCCCCCCGACTTATCCTCCACGTGTCGCTCGCTTTAACGACCCGTTTTCCTACGCTTTCGCGAATTACGCTAAGCTCCGTTCCTCGAAGGGCGCCGTTGACAAGACTGCTCGAAGGAGGTATAGTTTGTAGAGAAAACTCGCGTATTTTTGTGATACCTCTGCGAAGGAAGATTCGTGGAACAGGGATTCGAGGTCCGAAGGAAAATAACTAAAGAAAAGACGATGCACTGTTGCGTGTAACAGGGGTGGGGAAAGGGTCGCGCTATGGTGTATTTTCTAACGCCTATACCGCGTTTGACGTAACACGCATCGCCGGGGCTCGGTGGAACACACTAGGCGCAATCGTAGCTTCTTCATACATAGCCGGTCGATAGTAAATACGTTTCCTAGTTATATAGATGAGCCGTGCATGGCCCGGCAGAGGGTTAAACTTCATCCACTGATAGATATTTATACGACGTGGAAGGAAGGAGGGCATTATTGTTCCTCGTTGAAACCCCCGTCGAACTCGTTATATAACGTGACGTCGACATCAGGTAATTAGGAAGCGTCGCAAGCAGAAACGTTGGCCGCTGACTTTGAAAAGGTTTCACCGGTTCGTTTGTCGGTTTCCTTCCATCCTTTCTGCTCTTCCTCCCGGACGGACAGAGAAAAATTGCCCCGAACGTTATTTTTAAATTTCACGCATAGTCCAGCTATTCCTCGTGCATTCCACTTTCGAACGCTCGTTCTCCAAAGGATTTTCACGTGGTTCGGCCTTGTGGCATGTTAAATCGACACCGGTACGATGGTTCACGCGCCGAATCTTGATTCGAGTCGTTTGAAATCGAAACACGAAGGCCGCATGGAAATTTTCAGTTTCGTGTACCGGGTCTCTTGTTCCTGGTAAATTTCTTGCCAGAGCCCGGTCGTCGAGAGCAGAGTTCGTTCCTGGCACCACTTACCCTTCGCCGTCCATCTCGGCCGAGCATTTCCGCCCCGGTGTTTTTGCTCGTTCAAAGGGAACGAACCTCTTAGCGGCGAAGTAGAGGGAAGCTAAACGGATACAGGGCCTAAATACAGTTACTAGGACTGTGTGGACGTATCGTCGACGGAAGGAGCTTTCGTTCCTCTCCCCTCCCCGCGAGCAATTTGCCGGCCGATAGACCTAACCTCAAAATCAAATTTCGTCTCTTTGTTTCCGAGCATCGATCCCTCAGGTACACCGTCGTTCGATTCCCTGATGGGATACCACAGATCGTTCTTTTGAACGCGAATAGAGGATGTTGCGAAGAAGAAGAAGAAAGAGAGGGGAAGAGACAGTCGCGAAACGTTAAAAATGGACGGGTCAAAAACGTTTCTTTTCCTTCCAAGTCGAGTCGACTTTTTTTTTCCAAGTTCTTCGTAATCTGCCATCAGACGCGTACATACATGTATACGTAGCCTTCTGTCGTCTCCTCCGATTCGTCGTATATTCCGTCGTAGATCGTGAACCGCTTACTATGCAAAGGGTACGCTCGTAGAATTCGATTGTCGTGACCGGTGTGTCCTAGTTGTACAGTCTGTGTTTGTTTAACATAATTATATATTTCTCTTTCGGTCGTACCGTTTTCATACTAGACATTTGATTTAATACTGACTTACCTAAAAATGTTTTATTTCTTCTTCTTATTTTTTGTTATCAATGCTTGCTAATTGCTCTATATTTTGTTTGATGGATTTTACACAGCGATTATAATATTTGGGATTTATGGTTGTTGGTTCTCTTTTACCATTTGACTTCTTGTTACCTGTACCAAGATTTTCCTTTAAATCTTATGTTTGGTGGATCGCCATGATATTTGGTAGTAATAAAATATTGCCATGGGACCATACTTACCCTCCTTCTTTCTTTGATCTAAAATTGGAAAAAATTGAGTAGATAATTAGACATTTCATCACTTGAAACACCTCTCTCCTATATGTTCTTTGATTAAATTATGGCATGTGCATTTGCTATTTTGCATAACTTCTTATGTACTTCTTGCACTAGGTGAATGAACGAATCAAATCGTAAAAGCTTTAATAGCATATATAAAAGTAGCTTTGAAGAATTCTATCACATTCCATTATTTCACTTTCTGAACCCTTTGGTTATTTTATTTATTATTCGTTGACAAATCTAGAGCCTTATTTTTTATTTTGTCAGGAATTGTATCCCGATTATTAATTATACCTTTGTTTATAAACTTGTTGACAAGACTGTAAACTCGCACCACAGAAAGTGTATTCTTCTCTGAATCGTGTTAAGCTTCTAGCATTTAATTAGCTGCTTTGATATAAAGAATGTTTCTCCGATATTTTGATATTTCATCCGACGAGGACTATGTATTGTGCAACTTCTAACTGTATTATAGGCCTCAAAAAGGTTAGCTGTCTTCTATATTCGCTACGTATTCTCCGTACTCCATTTTTCAAATTCCCAGAACTGTCTTCCCATCTTAAATTTATTCCTGCGACGTTGGTGCGATAATAAATTTATTTCCTTCTAATGGGCTGCAAGAGAGAGAATAAAAGTATCGAGAGAATAGGTAGAAAAATCTCAATTTTTCTATAAATGAAACACTTAATGCATCCTTCCAGTGTGCACGTGGATATGCTCCTTAATGTCTCCCTCTTTTCTGCTATGGTAGATAGCGCCGCTCAGGGGGCGATAGGGTAACTAGAGAAGCTAGTAGATAATCCGAACGCTTGCCGATCCGTCTAGATTTCTGCGCTACCCCAGACTTCGAGCATCAGTCGTGACAGGCGTAAAAGAAATACGCTCTTTCCTGCAAAGAAAAATTTTATTCGATTTACACGGTTCGACAGCTTTCTTACATCTAATTAAATGCGCAGCCTAGTTGCGCAGATCGCCCTTTTATTTGATCGGCTCACGTGACAGTTAGTCCCGCCATTTGTTTTCGCAAACGCCTGGGTTATACGGTGTTTCCATACGACTCCGATTGAAATTTATATCACGACGATGTTTCGCCGTAGCTGGTGAGGCTGCGACACAGATACGATCGAGCTACGCCTTAAACTTTTCGCCTCGCGCATATCAGGAATCAACGTTAAAAGTGCCTCACCTCTGACGATTACACGACTCATGGAAAACGTGTATGTTCGTGCCGAAAGCTTCGTGTGCCAAACACTTCCGTTACACATTCTGCCCCTTATCTCTCCGATTCGATTATTCGAGAACGTTGTCAAACGTTCGGGGACTTTCCTTTACGTGTCAGTATTACTCGTTGGCATTATTACCCCGCGTATCTCAGGTAAAATCAGCGTTTACGTCGATCGATTATTATCGTTGTTACTATCTCAAAAGAAACCTAGGCGCATTACGTAAGGGGAACGTTGAACGACTTTCCGGGCTGCGCGCATCTTCTAGGGGAGATAACACGATATAGGCGCTCCTCTCTCGCTGTCGCTACTGGCTCGGTCCCCAGAAACACGTGCACGCCGCCGCGCACCAGTCGCCTTTTTTCGCATCCGATTCCTTCTTGGCTCTCTCCTCTTCTCGCACGAAGCACACGGTTGCCCGCGTGCTACGTGGCAGAATCCCTTTCGACTCGGTTCCACGGGAGTTTCGCGTCTCCGTTGTATCCCCGTTGCCGGCTGTTTATACCGAGCGATGCGTTCCATCGGTTTGGAAACGTTTCGATCGCAGATATATATTCCGAAGGAGCGCGCTGCATTCGCTTGCGTTAACGTTTAGAATCGACGCGAGTGCGCCTGCGCGGCGCGGATTGCGCACACCCCCCGCGCATTACACCACCCAGTATGATGCGACACGTGTATCGCGAAGGAAATAATACACGGCATGTGCGGTCGTTCCGGTGATTTTTTTTATTTAACGTTGCATTCAGCGAATGCATTTGTACACCGAAGCGATTATTTTCTCCGTTCCATGTTCCTCTCCTTTCTCTTCTCGTTTTCTCCCTTTGTTTCTCTCGTTTTTTCTTTTCTCCATTGATCCGCAAAAATCTTCGTTGTTTATCGCGTTTGTAGTCGGCGAGAGCAAGGCATATATTTACTCTGTAATAAAACGTGCTTCCTCCGTAAGCGGGTACGAGAAAAAGAAAAAAGTCTGGCATCAAATATTTTGTCCTACGTCGCGCGTAACGAACTATACGTAAATATACGGTCAAGCTTATTCTCGAGATACGTGTGCATCGCGTCGTTTGATGGAGAGAGAGAGAGAGACAGAGAGAGAGAGAGAGAGCGAGCGAGAGAGAGAAAGAGAGAAAGCGTGCGAGAAAGGAAGAGTGAGAGAGAGAGAGAGAAAGGAAAAAAAGCGAAAGAAACGAAAGAAAGATAGAGAAACTGTACTCGAACGTGCCTCGCCCTCCACTATATACGAACGTACTTTTGTGCGTATACAGTAGACGCGCACCGGATAAAAGCTCGATTCACGTTCGACGGACAACAAGGAGGGTG